CACAGCTCTGGCAGTTTAAGGGTGGAAGGCATGTATATTGCGTACTCCACCAAATTTCTATAGCTGTGTGCCTTTTTGAAGCCACAGTTAACTTTATGTTCACATACACTATTCCTCTTTTCATGGATTTTTGCATTGCCTAACTGATGAAGGTCTGCGTGACTGAATGATCATGTATTTCTGAGATCTACTATTCCATGAACTTTTGTCAGCTATACAGTTTCATACTCTCTCTCTGTTTCTTACAGTGTCAGAGATGTTCAAGTCCACTTCAAGAAAGGCTTAGCAACTGGGATACCTTCAGCTACCACAGCTTTTTTCTAAGGGAGGAAGAAAGCTGTGGGTGGAGCCAAACTTTAACAAGTGCTGCAGGTTGTATTTTGTGATTTGAAGGTGGTTAAAAAATTGGTGGGCAGTTCATCCACTGCAGTTTCAGCCTTTATTTTTTTTACATTTCCATAAATAGTTATGGATTGAAAAGCAAGTCAACAGGAAAATAGTGCTGGCTGTGTGTGTGTGTTATGCTCATATTGGGTTGAAAGATGGAGTGTCCAGTAAGAAACGAGGAGCATTGCCATAATTCAACTTGTTCCTACTAGTGTAGTAGCTACTGTGCGAGAAGCCATGACTAGACTCAGTTTATCATATGGGAGAAGCAACACCCGCGTGAGTGCGCTTTGGATTTGCGTTTTAATACTTACTGAAATTTGAAAAACTTCTCCACAATAATTGGCAGTTTATGTGGTAGATATACATTGCACACAAACTTTGCAACGAGTAAACAGGGGGAAAGGTTTTAGGCATACTCTTTTGTAAGCGTTTCGTGTCACTTGAATATTTGAACTCGATTGTTTCCAGTGTCACTGACAAAGACATAGCCATCATCTCTGACAGCTATAGCATATGGGTCACTGAACTCTCCATCTTTGTTCCCTCTCTTCCCCAATGACTTAGCATACTTGCCATTCTCATCAAATACTGATACTCTGGGATAGTCTTGTTCAACCACATACACCCAGTCATCAGGTCCAACTGCCACACTGACTGGTCCTCTTAGTCTCTCTCCTGCTCCAGTGTTAGTGATGGATGACAGATGATGTCCATTGGCATCGAAAATCTGAACTCTGTTATTCAAAACGTCAGCTACTAATACATTTCCTCTTCTGTTGACAGATATTCCCTCAGGCTGGTTGAATTGACCTGCCTCACTTCCCCTACTTCCAAAGCTGCCATGGAATGTCAAGTCATGGTTGAGGATTGTGATGCGATGGTTGTATGTGTCACAGACATACACTCTGTTGTTGGTGTGGTTGTAGGCTATGGCCTATGGCGTGTTGAACTGCAGTCGTCCACTGCCCTTTGAACCCACTGATGCTATGAACTGACCCTCAAGAGTGAATTTCTTCACACAGTGATTCCCACCTACTACAAACACTGTGTTATAAGAGATGGCTACTCCTCTTGGTTCAATAAGTCTGTTTTCCTCTGGTCCTGTGTTTCCAAATGATCGCAACAGCCTGTGATTACTGTCAAAGACTTTCATACAGTTTGCATTTTGCTCACAGACAACGGTTTCCCCAGTTTTGGCAAAAGCAATGTGACGTGGGCGGTTTATTCCACCAATTGTCTTGACATGAATACCTCTAAAGACGGTTTCAAACTTCATTTCTCCTAATTTCTGACATGCTGAACTCAAGTCTGCACACACCACACTAATCTCTTCTCTGGACCCAACACCAGTTGCTGAGGTTTGAACTCTTCTGCCATCTCCCGTGCCCTCTCCTCCACTTGTCTCTTCATCGACAGCACCTCCTCTTGTGTGCCACTCTGCAGACTCCCCTCCACAAACTCCACGCAGCTGCTCAGCTGGGCCTGCCTCAACTCGTGTCCGTCAATCCGGGCCGCCAGCTCCTTCTTCCCCTGACACACCTCACCATCTATCTGGGAGTGAAGCTCCCTCCTGCGAGCCTCTAGGATGGCCTGGAGCTTGTCTACTTCGGCATCTACCTGTGCCTTCGCCTCTATACCCTGTCCATCTAGCCTGCTGGACCTTGCCTTCAGCTGTGCAATGGTGCTCCCTACACTAGCAAGTTCAGATTTGACGGGACCTAGGCAGGCAAGGATGGCATCTCTGTGCTTTGGGGAAGGTGTCCAGGACGAGGTCGTAGTTGTGGTCGCGATGGGTCTTGACGGTGCAGTCGCGACATATCAGCTCATCGCACGTCTCGCAGTAGATCTTGATGGGCTCTGTTGCATGCTTGGAACACATGGAGCTCACCTTTTTGGGTGTCACCATTTTCGAGGCTGTTTCTTGAACTTGGTCGAGGGTGGATATTTCGTGCCCCTGCAATTCCTTCCATTTACGATGCGTAATGAGGCAGTGCTGGCAAATGAACTGGCCGCAGTCTCGACAGAAACCCTGCACCTCTCCCTCCCCACACTTGTCGCACTGCGCCTTCTCCGGGTCACACACCTTCTCCAAGACCTCCCTCACCTCGAAAAGGTGCTGGATGTAGAAGGCAGAGGGCAGGCTGGACACGCCCCCTTGAGGGAGAGTGGCAGGGCTTGCGGCAGTTGGGGCACAGGGGCGCTCAATTTGTCTCTCTGTGTCCCCACCAGTTTCTCCAGACAGGCCTCGCAGAAGACGTGGAGACAGGGCAGTACTCTGGGTCTGCGGTACTCCTCCAGACACACCGAACACGACAGCTGTTTCGATAGCTTCTCTAGCGCTTGCTGGGCTGGATTTTCAGTGGTGGCCTGCGGTTTTTCGGCCATTATTGCGGAAAGCACACAAGGATATCTGCAAGAAGTAGGTACACACATCATAGTTGCAAAGTAGATACAGTTTGTGTTTAAGGCCTCTATGCAACTACCTACATAAGGTCCTGCCGATTATGCAAACCTATGTTTTTTAGCTTCACACACAGTATTGGTGCCTTGCATAGAAGTAGGTACACGTATTATTGCTGCATAGTAAAAGTGAGAACTACACTTTTGCACAACACTGGCCTCTGTGTAACACTAACTAAGGTTCCACCCAATATGCAGGCCTCTTTATTCTAGTACGATAGCTTCACACACCACACACACACAGCTTTGGTGCCTTACCTAAGAGAGAGTGAGGTTCAAAGCGAATCAGAGTAACACCACAGCCAAATCTTCCCAGCAGAAAAAATGGCCCCTTGAAAGTGTTTGCAGGAAGCAGGAAGAGATAGACTGAACCACAGAAGGCAATATTCATGGCCAGGTCCCCAAAATAGCACAAACTACAGTAATAAGGCACTAAACCAATATTCATGGCTGGAGTCACAGATCACCCCACCACCCACCACCCACCAGGTTAAAACTACAGAACAGAGAAACAAAGAAAACCAGGATATGGTAATCCAACCAACACCTCACTGCCCTAGGCTAAGTAGGTGTTCAAGGCAGTGGGTGTACAAACACAAGTGCATGCTTGATGAGCTCCACGAGACTACCTAGAACCAGCATGGAGTAGTTACATAATAGCTTGGTTACTTTACCTAACACTGCCATAATGTACTCCCTTCCAGCGTGTGGGGAGGGTATGGAGTGGTGCAGTCTGCGGAAGGCCACCATTGACAACATGACCAGTACCTGGCCCGCAAGGAGGAGAGGATGCGCCACCAGAGAGGCTCGGCCAATAAGCTCCCCACCTCCGACACCACAGCTGACGAGAATATCCACAGCCCTCCTCCCGCGAAGAAGATTAAGACTCAAACTATGACTTATGATGTTTATATTGTATAATATCGTCCCCACATGAATTTTGTGTCAATCATGTGAGACGTCATATTGACTTGCAGCATGAAACTTGAGGGGGAACTCTTTCACTGTTTTCACATGTTCGGTGCGTCATTTTGTTCTGGGGTGTGGGTTGAAGATAGACCAATTATGTGTAAAGCAATCCATTAGAGTTTACTCTCTCAACTTGCGTTAACTAGCAACTCAACATAATTACACGCCAACGATGGCTAACCCAGAGCCCAATCTTCGTATTAACAATGAGACTAAGTTTTGGTATGTCTCCATCTAGTCTCCCTTTGTGTAGCTACCGTTCCCCTTATAAAATCATTGTAATTTTAGTTCATTGCAGAGTTTGTACTTTTTAATTATAGTCAGCCAGTGCAAATACATTACATCACATATTACTAACTAAGTATGCACCATAATATTTCATGCATGTCTGCAGTAGTCAGATACTGAACAGTAACGTAGGGACATATCACACAGACTCATAGAGAGAGTCTCCAGCAGCAGCAGTGGTAGGCTGGGAGGAGGTGGAGGGAGGGAGCGCTTGTGTTACCTCATATTCACCTACAGCTGTACTTCCAGTCCCTCTCACTACATCGTAGGCCTCATTACTGGAGGTCTGGAACTGCTCTGAGCCACTGATGGAACAAGGCACAGTTGACAGTAGAAAGAAGTAAAGTCCAATGATAGAACCTGCATTTGTGGCACTTAACCTACAGATATTTCCTTCCTGAAAATGTGGGCATTTCTACGCCAGTGTTCGTGGAGGCTGCCTAAAAGAAAAAAGTGTTGACTGCTTTGATGGTGGTCCATAGTCATGTTACCTTTAGCTCTTTGGAGTTCCTGATGAAAAAGACTATCACCATAGCCTGCACTACTGATAGCAGTCACATCACCACCACTCCCAACACACCACCAGAGCAGGCCACCGATGCTGATGTAATCACTCTTGCTGATGTCTGATGTAGGCAGAGAATGAAGTGTGTGAATTTTAGTACGGTATAGCTACACTGTATAGAACCTCCATAAGGTCATTGAATATGGACTCAATCTGAAATCTCTCAGTAAAGAGCACACTTTGAGGTCGCAATTCGTAGCCATAAAAAGAAGACAACCTCCTATAAAATGACATATGCCTAGTTCCATATTCGGAGGTTCAACTTTGATGTAGAGAAAGAGCGTAGAATATTAATATGTACACTCACCTTCAGCTGTAGAGTGAGTAAAGGTGGTGGAGGAGTTCCCAGCAGGGTTGAAGGACTGTTACCAGCGATGTCATAGCTAGTTCCACTCCTCAGACGTCCAATTGGGTAGCTGTTCTGGTGCGTTTGAGAGTCGTCCATCTAGTCCCTCCCTCAGCATTGCCTGACTCGTCTTCTTCTCATATGCCCTGTTAGTTCCCAGCTCACCTCAGAGCCAGTGGCATCGGGAGGAAAGCTCCAGGAGGTAGTGATAGTAGTGGCGAGATCTCAATGTTGTCCATGTCCACAGTTGGTTTCTCTGAAAACACCCCTGATGACTGGAGAATGAGTCATAAACAGAACTATTCGCAGT